ATTCATAACATATAAACAAACATTTCTAAAAGCCGTGTCATAAAAGGCAAATGGCTTGGGGATAATGAGGAAAATCCATAGTAACTTACTAGGATTTTTTACCACTAGGGCAGAGAGAAGATTACATTGTTGTTTATGGGCCACTTTATCTAAATTAAACAATACAAAAAAAAAAGTGGAATGTGCTTGCAGGGTGTAGATTCTACTTGGATTTAGTATAGGAGATTTAGAAAAACAGTGCATTATTTTAATGCTGAGTTGTATATTGTTAATATAAGAACTAAACTGTTCTGGTCTTGGTTATTAAAAGGATTTGTTTTTCAAGAATCTGAGTTTTACTTTAGGCAAGACAAATCCTATTTTTCTTAGGATTAAGATTAAATATTTCTTGAAATTTCTCATGTGTTTTATTATAAAATTGTCTCTATGATATAAAAATTGCAATTTAATGAAGCATGAAATATTTTTCCACTTATCTGCTAACTTTTTTCCTCTTATATTCTGTTTCCTGAAGGTGCTGTAATTTGTCTTGAGCAATTGCTGAGGTGGAAGAACTCTGACTTTGTATCTGAGTAACAGTGATTAGAACCAAAAGACTTGTCTGAGGTTGACTATCTTTATATTATACTTCTTAGGTAAGGATGAAGTAAGGGCAGGCAACATTCAATTTCAGTACTTGGCATATATTATTTTTTAAGCAAATGAGTACATGGGATATGAATTAGTAGCGTGAGTGCAATTTATTATTTGCAGCTTAATCATCACTAAGCATGCTGAATATCGCTTCTAAATAATTTCATTTAGTTCACATCTTCAAGTAAGTTTCATATGTAGACTGGTATAAAATGGCTGGTGTATAAAAATGCCAGGACAGCAAAGCACTGAAACAAATCAGTTCTTTATGAATTGACTCAAGTAAAGGAAGATTGCTATGGCCTGATTAAAGCCATTGAGAAGCACCAGCATGCATCATGAGACTGAGGTGAACTGTCAACAGTCTGATATAAGAATAATGTGCCTCTGGGGAAGGGGAATAGGGAATGCACAATGAATGATGAAGCTGTGACTCGGCACATAAAATATATTGCCTGTTTAGGTCCTCAAGGCTTGGCTTTGCATTTTGCCATAATTGCTGAGGGTTTTGAGGCCAGATTGTGTAGGGTGTTTGATAATGAAAGCTGAATGCTTTGCTCTGCTTGTAAGGTTACACAGCACCAAGGACTTGATTCAGCTAGGTTAATTTCTTGTAGGATATTTTTGCTTTACTTTTGGTGAATTTTTATGTCTGAACAAAAAATGAATGGCATCAAGCAGTTTCTGGACTTTGTGCAAATAACATGTTTTTATAGAAACGTTATCAATACAATGTTTTACTAGTAATGTTTGTTTCTTGTTGAATTTTTAGGTCTAGTTAAAACCAAAGAAAAGTCACATAGGCCTATGTAAATAATTTGGTATGTTGAAGTATCCATGTTAGTTGAATGAATTTTTAAACTTGTAAGTATGTTTTCCTTCAGAGTTCAAAACCTCTGTAAACCTTAACCCTGTTAATAGACTAATCTATGTTACAGAGTATTGACTGGATAAATTACAGTTTTTTCAACATTCTTCTGTCAGTAAAAAAAAGTGCCAGTATAGGCATAATTCTCCTTTTGGAGATGGTATAGGCACAATTTGCTCTTTTGGAGGAGGGTGGTGATGGTGTTAAATTGTATCTATGTTTTCAGTGGCTGTGTCAAGCTGTCAGGATTTCAATTATGTTGGACATTATGCTTTCTTCTAATAGAATCATAGAATGCTGAGCCTTGGAGGGGATCTTAAAGAGCATTCAGTCCCAACCCTTCTTGAACCACCTCCCAGTAGACCAGGTTGCTTGCGGCCTTATCCAACCTGGACTTGAACACTGTCCTCACAGTGAAACATTTTCTGCACATAAGTAATGCCAATGCCCTTTTTTTGAACATACTCTGGGACTGTGGCTCCATGTTACTACAATTACTCTGGGAAACTTTCTTCTAGATGTACTTGTCTATCCTTCTCACTGTTACTTCCCCACTTAAGCATTCTCAGTCAGTGGATTGTCTTAACAGAGGAGTTTGCCAAACCTCAGGCTATACTGATTCAGTAAAATGACTGCTTAAAAAATAAGACTTTTTGTGGCCCTGTTTCTTGAAAGCTGGTTATCTCAGTAATCCAGTTTAAAACTGTTTTCAGGGTTACAGTCTGTCAGGAGCACAGTGGGTGGGGTAGCAGAGAACTGAGTGGGAAAGGACATCCTAAAGCCACTTTGGATCTGGAGGAATTGCAGTGAACCACAGCATGGAAAGCCTGAGGCATGGACTTCTAGCCATGTTATAAGGGCCCCTTGCTCTCGCTGTTTGGTGGGAATTTGCTGCCATGGTTATGGAGAAAATAGATACTTGTTTGGGCAGTCCACACCACTGTTGCCACAAAGAGAGGCAGAAAACCCAAAAAGCTGAATTGGATAAATTTTATGACCCTTCCACAAAATAGCTTGAGTAGCAAGTGAATGTTGATAGTAGGGAGGTGTTTCCCATTCATTCTTAAAATTAATACAGTGCAACAAAATCCAAAGTATCTATCTGCCTGTTGTTGTCGTCTTAGATTTGAACATGAAAGGTGCTTATTTATTAATACACTTAAGAGCTTGTGTTGTGTACTGTTTCAGTTGGATTTCTTAGATTCTGAGATGTTGTAGTCATCTAAGTAATACTTCTCTGGTGTGATGGCTTTTCTCCTGCCTTGAAAGTAAATGAAACTGCTTTTGTTAATTAACTGGGGTACTTTGTGGCTATGGCTACCTGATGAGTTAGAGAAAAAAAAAAAGAAATTATATTTTGATATATTAAAGCATGAATTGTGAATTCTTAGAATGCAAGTAAACTGCATGTAAGATCAGCCTTCATAGTTACATTATTGTATCCCTTACCCCTTCCTGTCTTTTGTTTCTTTGCAGTATAAAACAATTGCAACCTTAAAGTGTTCAATTGTAGATACTTTTCAATTATCCTACTCAGTCATAGGTTAGAGATTCTGAAGGTTACGTGTTGGTAAATTCTGCACACAGCCATCTGTAGGATTGCTGGCTTCTTAAAAGTGAATAGTTTTCTCTTTTGGTTTTGGGAACAAACTGGACCATCTGGTTTTGTCCAAAGCAGAAATCCTGAGAATCTGCTTTAACATTTAGTTTTGAAATCAGTTCAGTAATTTGTTTGCACTTCTTTCTACATTTCTGCATTTCTACTATTTCCTAGAAAATTATTTTAGCAAAATGCTTAATTGCATCTTTTTTTTTCTTGTTGCTAATTGGGGTTTATCAGTTGTTATTTAAAATAATTTCCATTGTTTTCACTTTGAGCAAGTCTTGTGTATTGCATACTACCCAACTGACAATTCGAGACTGTTCTGAAAAATTCAGAAATATTTTAAAATAAAAGGTTTACCGTTTTTAGAGGAATAAAGAAAACTAGAGTAAATACCCAACTTCTCATTGCTGTCTGTCACCTTACTGATGTTTCTCAAATGCAGCATAGTTATGCAGCCTGTGCAGGAGATGTTTGTGGAATAACGCTCTTTCTGCAAATTCTTGGAGGCTTCCATTTTTTTTTTGTTTTTGAAAGGAAAGGATTATTATTCTAGACATTTGTGTTGTAAAAGTGTCCCTGTCATGTAAATTGTTTTCTGCTGACTCTTCTCTTGTTCAGCGAGTTTGATGAATGGAACAATTGTGAATTTCCTTGTCAATTTCAATACAAGTAGATGGGAAATACCTTGAAATAGATGGATAGAAAACAAACACTTTCTGGTTGTCATTATTTCCTACTCCAAAAAAATTGTTTTCCGCTGGAGTGGAGGAGAAGAATAGAAGGTAGAAATGCATGTTGAGGAGAGTATTGTGTAAGTGTTTATTATATGAGGTGGGGAATGTGTATAACTGTAAGAGTTTGCAAAGGTTTTGAGCATGCAATGTGTAATTTTGGATTTATCTGAGCTGTTGAGCTTTTTATACTTTGATATGAGAGAAGGTACTGTGTTTTTAGTGTCTTTGTGTATATTGGACGTAAAAGTGTGTTAATATTGAAGAGGTTGTCCAGAAATGTGGAATGTTCATTATCTGGATGGAGCTTACGTGCAAAACCTGATCTAATCAGTGCTGCATTTAGCAGCATTTGGACTGATGAACTTCAAGTGTACATTCTAATGTAAATGTTCTATACTTTTGATAGGTCAGAATCCCAGTTTGTACATGGAGTTTACATCTGTGAAATTCAGAACTTAAATGAAACAAAAGTGCTTCATTGTGGATATAGTGTGTGAGAATGCTTCAACTTAAACTCTTTGCAAGCAAAAATAATTCTTTCATGTCCTGTTTCAAGCTTAAATACAAAATTATTTCCAGATCTCAGACAAACAAAGAATGAGCCCATCTTATTCTGAGGGGGTGGATGTTCTTTCTTCTGAGAATTCTCACTGTCACTGTCAAAAGAAAAATAAAAATCAAGGCTATTTCTTTCACACCTGATAATTTTTCTGTGCAAGGGTCAATATTAAATCCTCGATTTACTCTCATATTAGGGAAGGATCCACATTTTATTGGTAATTTTGCGTGAACTTCAGACTGGAGGAATGTATAGCATTCTCCTCACTGATGTGAACAAGGAGCAATGGTAGTGTTATTCTTCTGTGAAATATGTGAGCCCTCTATTTGAGATTACAAGACTGTCAGGCTACATTATGATTGGTTCTTCACTGTTATATTGAAGAAATATCACATAGGCTTTTTGGGTGTTAGGTGTTTGTAATTGTTTGGTGAAGAGGGAATAAATGCTGTTTCTGGTGTAAGTTCTCAGCCAGCAGAGTATGTGTTTTCCTCATCACTGCAGAAGGTGCTGTGGGGATTTGATCATGCTTTTAATTTTCTGAATTCTTTCAAGTGATTTACAGTGTATAGTGATACATTTGTTTATTGATTTACATAGATGGAGAGGTTCCGTGGGTTTTGTCAAGCCATGGCTTACAGACAACTACTTTGACAACTAAAACGGATGGCAATGATGGCAAGGCTGAACACCTAGAGTATATTGCCTTTGCTTTGGTTCCTGTTTTCTTCATCATGGGTCTCTTGGGGATCCTTATCTGCCATATCCTTAAGAAAAAAGGATACCGTTGTACAACAGAAGCTGAAGAACTAGAAGAAGAAAAAATTGATGAAAAAATAGGTAATCAAGTCTAATAAACAAATTCCTATTTCTGTGCATTGCAACTACTATGAAATAATTTACTGTGAGACTTCTGTCATTTCTGTGTCTATATTTGACATCAAAGCAGTATTAAGAATAATATTTTTGTTATTACATGTCATTTGGGGTCTGATCTCTGCCAGTCAAATCCAGGCGTGTTCTGCTTTTCCCATGCGAGTCTGCTAACATTAAGTAAGAGCTTAGAGAGGGATCAAAGTATCCCTATATTTGTTTGCAACTCCTCAGATGGAGTCACCAGATCACTTTTCTGCATTCTACATGCTGTCAACAACAAAGTATTGGTGTACATAGTGCTAGCTGAGAAGTGGCAAAAAACTTTCATTTAAAGCCAAAATCTTAGTTTTATGTTTTGCAATCTTAATTTGTTCCTGTTGTGCTGTCATTCTCTTCTCCCCTCTCTTTATAAAACCAAGCCTTTGGACTGAATATCCTTATTGTGTTTTATGTCATGCCGCTTGTAATTTTTCCTTAAAGAGGTCTTCCACATTTTATCCTAACGTTTGTTCATTTGTGCCCTTGTTTTTTATTGTTCCTTATTCCCATCTATTCTTACTTGGGGAAAAAAAGGGTGTTACCAGGTGGGAAGGGCTATACTAACATGGTGTAGCATTTGTAAAATGTAAGTAAGAGCAAAAGTCACTTGTAAATACTCCTCTCCCTTTCTCCCAATTAATTTCTTTCAGTAGTTTCCTAATGAGTGCAAATTGCAGTGGCTCTGTGGTAAGGGCAGAGCCATGCGGTGCAGTAATGATGTGCCAGTGTGTTGTTAAGCATTAACTGCCTGGGGCAGCTGTGCAGTGAGTGAACCATCCGATCTGTTAGTTCCCCTGAGTGGAACAGGGGAGTGGCACTGAAGCGGGGACATCCCCTGTGTCTCAGTGGCAGGAACGAGCTGCATTGTTGCAATTACATTGCAAAATTGCAGGTATTAAGACTAAGCGTGGGTACAGAGGTGGGGAAGCCCCTAATTTATTACATAACAGAAGAATTTAGAGTCTAGCCTATCAAACTTGCCTCAACCCCATTTTTAAAAATAAAACATTATAACAGTTATTAGGGAAGGGCACAGTTTTGCCTCTTCATTGTTTTAGTTCCCCAGTTGATCTTATTCAGTCTTTGCAGATTATTCTAGGGGAGCTTTTAATATTGTTAAGGGGTGCATTGTGTTACAAAAGTTTGCAGGTTTTTTTTTTAATTAATCAATTATTGTGTCCTTGAAGATGTGGTGAAAATCTTAAATTGAATCCCCCTCATAATAAGAGCCACTAGTACCTGTTTTAGAGAGTGGTTTGAGACAGTTTAGCATTTTGTTTTGTTTGTTTTTCCCCCCCTCCCTGCTGTTAGGATTAGAAATGCTGCTCTCTTATTTGTCTCCTCCTTACTAGCTAGAGAAGGAATTTTGAAGTATGTTTGTGAAAATACTGAGCTTAATTAGTTCACAGCTCAATTTTTTTGGGCTAATGTAGAGATGATAAACCTGTGTTCATAGTTTTTACTGAATAAGGACAATAAAGTCTTACATAAGCTTTCCCTCCATAGTGACAAAAGATCTTGCCTCTTTTTTAAAATGTAGTTTCTTTTGGTGTGTGTTCTGTTTTGGTTGTGACGTTATCATTATTTATTTTTAAAATAGTTCAATTCTTGATTCATAAGGCCAAGATACTGACAACATATTTATTTCTTTGCACAGAAATGAATGAAACTATACATGAGAATAGTGACACTGTGGGACAAATTGTTAACTACATCATGAAAAATGAAGGTATAGTATTGTGCCATTGAAGTTAGCAGCCCTTGTGATGATGTTGTACAAAAAATATGTTTTTTGGATAGTCTGATGTATGGTATGTTCACGTGCTTTCATTTAATAACCAATTTATTTATTCTTAGATCTTTGAAATGGTCTTTCAAGGAAGTAACTTCAAGAACAATAGGGAAGTTTCTTGCTTACTTGAAAATTGTTTTGTATGGTAAATTCAGGTCATGCATTTCCAGATACTTTAACTCTTTAGGTATTGGGTTGTTTTTTTTTTGTTCAGCCTTTTGCTTTGTTTGTGAAGCAAAAGCTCAATGTTGCTTTCTTAGTGGCAGTGTTTAAAGCCAGTGGAAACTGTTATGTTTTGACTAGATTTAACTTCTTGTCCTGAAGTGATTCTTGCAGCTCTTGTCTGATGAGAGGCTTGTGCATAACTGAGACAGTTGGGTATATAGCACTGATGTGGAATTCTGTATGTGTTATCTGCATGTGTGTGCAAAGTAAAGGATAAAGATGTGACTGAGAAAACAAAATCATAGTTAAGCACCCTGTGGAGTGCTTGGTTAGTTCAGAATGTATTTGCCCATTAGAAGAAATGTTTAGCAGATTGGATGTTTTTGTAGGACAAGAGCCATCAGCCTTTTGATTTTACATTTGTAAGTTCTGACATTGAACTTGGTTTGAGTTACCTCTGAACGAAGACTAGTCCTCTGGAAAAGCAGTGCTTTTGGGTTTGCATGAGGGGATTTTTGGGATTTGTTGTTTGGTCATTTTCTTCTGTTGTTTGTGGTTTTTTTTAGACTATTAGTGCTTTGAGCTTGTGTATTTTTCCTTGAGATTGGGATTAGGTAATTCATGTGTTTTGATAGGAAGTCAGCAATTGATGGTTCTTGGCTGATAATGAATTTGTGTTTTGTAGGGCTCACTTAAACTGATGTTTTTAATCTGAAGTTGGGATAAACGTGTGACGTGATTCAGAGATCTTGTTCAAGAGATTGGTGTAGATGCCTGTGTTTCATGGCTTGCATTGGGGTGGAGCTTTGAGTGCAATATGAACTGCAATTTTAGTAGCTCATGTTAAGGTTATCCATAGAATTATATTAACATTTTTTCCTGCAGTTTTCTTTTGTGCTGTCTTGGAGATACATAATGCAATCATCTTCCTTTAAATGGCATTTCTTTGAGAAACTTTTATTTTGGTTTTATTTTTTTTCTAAAGTTAGAACCGTTCACTTTTGAAGAGTTCTGTTTATTCTCATTGCAGCAAATGCTGATGTGTTAAAGGCCATGGTAGCAGATAGCAGTGTCTTTGAACCTGAAAGGTAATTACTCCTCATTTTAATGCATGTTTCCTGAGGCAACTAAAAGCATATGCTTCCAAAGGACTTTGTTTCCTGAACTCTTCTAAGACTACATCGCTTGCTTGAGTTACCAGCTAAGAGGATAATACTTTGATTTTCCATTGTGTTTGCGTCCTTAAATTTTAACATATACCCTGGGTGGTTAGTGACTGGCTCTTCTTCTTATGTGTTCTAGGTGCATGATACAGTTTTTCTGCATTTTGGTCTAAAAACTTACAGGAGCTGCAAATACTGGTTTACTTTGGGGTGAAGTTAGGTACAAGGTTGCTTAGTCCAAAACTGCTGTGGCTTCAAAGAACAGTGCAGCACTCATTTAATTTGTATAGGTGCTAACTTACCAGAGGTATCTTTTTCTGTGTCTGCTTTTGGTTTACTTTTTTCTTTATAATTGTAGCAATAAACATTGGTTTACTACCTCTTAGGATTTTTCACTGCATGTCTGTTCAGATAATTATGTAGAGAAAGCATCTCTCCCTTAGATGCATTGTATGTGTAAAAAAACTTGTAGGTGCATCATATGTGTAAAAGTGCTTGTATCTGTACATGAATACTTCTAGCTATATCTAGACTACTCTCAATACTCTTCATATATAACCCTGTGTTCATATTCAAGGTGGAGGAGATGGAAGTTTAAGTAGAATTGTGTCACTTGTAAAAGAAGTAGGAGTATATAGTTGCAGCAAAACAAAGAGTATAGAACCATTAAACACCTGTTCTGATGGTGAGAGCCTTGGTTATTGAAAAACCTGAATTTCCAAAGGGATTTCTTCTCAAGTATAGATATTTTAAAATGTCTATGGTTCTGTAGAGATATTTATTTGAATTTTTTTGCATAGGCATGTGTAATGTTATCTTGGGCAATTTAGGCTATAGTTTCAGTGGTGAATTAAAATATGAAGAATAAGGAGGAGAGAAAATGATTGTTCTTACAGAATCTGGCAGATACTCCTGAAGCTTTTGTAATCAAGTAGAAATCCTTTGTATTTCTTTGCAAGTTCAGTGCACTATGAAACTTCCTAATTATAGAAATACTTAGGGCTGAGTAAAATATGCACTTCTCTCAGTTGAAGCCATTAGTTCTATCTTTGCTTCAGGTATTGCACTGCTTTTATTTTCCTTAATAGCATTTTCTTGTTTATTCAGAGACCATTAAATATTTCTTGTCAATATTTTTATTTTGAAAATGAGCATCCAAGTAACTCCCAATCTTCTCTGGCATGTTTTACTTCTTTAATTTGTTCTTTCTGTTCCCCTTTGGAGTCTCTGCAGTTTGTTTGTATTTCTTGAAATAACATTTCTAAACCTGCATGGTAGGATCAGATCTGGCACGATTAATGCTGAGTAATGTAAATTTAGGTTCACAGGCTGTATTTCTGTTATTTCCATTGTTTTGTCCTTTTTAAGCAAGAACGTTGTTAATGATTCATGTTCAGCTCATGATCCTCTTTTCTGAGGAATGGCCATCTGTCTTGTTGCTTTTTAGTCTAGGTTTGGGTAAAGGCTTTCTGCTAAAACACTGAGAATTTGTGTTGTCCTTACTGCAATACATCCAGTATTTTTAGTAAGATTTGTGTATGTGTGAATGTCTTTCATAAATGTGTTCTCTTCTCATCATTCTGATTTCTGATCTTGACCTTTACAGTTGCTATGGGTTACCCAGAGTCTATTGGTACTTTAGCTATTCTTCTATTCTGTTACCCAGTGTACTACATAAAGCACTGAATATCACCAGGACCAAAAAACCCCACATTTAGTATCACTTTGCAGTTTTACAGCCACTGCAGATATGTTACTTTCTGTATGTGTTTTTAATTTTTTTACAAGGTGTGCTGCCTTACTCTACAGTTATTTCACCTTTCATGAGCTCTGGCTTGCTGTGTAGCAAGACATTATTAAAATCGATGTTAAAGTCCAAAAAAAGTACAGCTAGTTTCTATCTATGCTGTCTGTTTTTCTGTTTTGGAGGAAAATCAGATTGATTCAATTAGTTAATCTCAAATGCCTTTTGGTGGTTGTACTGCTTTTTCTTTCTAGGTACTTAAAATTTTATTTTTTTCCCTTGAAACTGAATGATGTTGTTTCCTCTTGTCATTGTGGTACACATTTTAGTTTTGCCTCCTTTCAATATTGTGGGACTGTGCTCTTCTTCTCGGAGTTCCTTGTGATCCTGTAACAATTCTGAAATACTTTCTGTAGTTTTCCAAGGTGTTTTTTTTTGTGAGTGGAATCAGCTCATTAAATGTCTTCATCAATATAAGTTCATGTAACCTGTTCTCTTCTATTCAGGCTGATTTTTTCCCCCTCTTAATTTTCTTGTCTTTTGTGTTAGTTACCTTAACCACATGACTGCAGCTGAATTAGTTTGTGAAAATTATTCTAATTGCAAAAATATAATATTGGAGGGAACTGTAAGCTGGACATCCTCACAAATAAATGTTTCCTGTAAAAACTGGTTATTCACTAGACATAACTGCAGGTTGGATTTCATCCTTTTTCCTTTTTAAGAAACAGTATTTTATGGTAAACATTAAATTTTCTTTATTTCTTTTTCCTACAGCCCATTATCTCCTACCTCTCCTGAGAGTCCAATGAGTCCAGGGACTCCTTTGTCACCAGGTGTTGTTCCATTCAGACACAACTGCAAAGCCCATCACTTCCATACTGTTGGAGGAGTGGTGGAAAAGGATGTTTGTACTCGCTGTAGCCACAAACGATGGCACCTTATAAAGCCAGCTCAAAAATCTAAAGAGAACAGAAGAAGTCGTATTGGAGAAGTTACAGTCCTTTCTGTGGGAAGGTAAGGTCATTTTGTTAGGTCATTTTAGGTCATTTTGTTGTATGTATTTTGTTATACTTCTCTTAGAATGCTACAGTGGCCAGTGTTGTTGGATCAGATATCCACTGATTCTGCTCTGTTTAGAAGATCAGTGATTTTTTTTTAATAACCTGTTATTATTAGACTGAAGTTATTTCTGGAAGAAGTAAATGAAATTTTATTTTTTTTAAGAACTAAAAAAGAACTTAAAAAAGATGGAGATTACTGTGGGTGTAAATTTGAGTCTCTTGCTCATTTGATATAGGCGAAAAAGAAACAAGAATTGCACACTAATAAATTTCTGTTTCTGAATTTGGTATTTGTCAAGTAAGTGTGAGGCTATAGAAACCACTTCATTCTATTTGTTATTTTTAATTTCTACCTTATATTGTAGCTGTCTTTGAAAATTACTATTCTAAGAAGTGGTATGCAATCTGTGGATTCTGCTTCAAAACACAGTTCCCTGAGAAAGTGTGATTCAGCAGTAGTGAGTACTGCAGTAGGTGATAGGAAGGAAGATGCTCTGAAGGGAAGCAGTGTCCATGTAGGTGTCTGCTCTGACATCTTGTTCTGGGGTCCTGGACATTGGTTTCTGCCTATGCTGTTGCTCCTGAGAATGATCTAAGTCACCTGTGGGGAAACACAAGTGCACTTTCTTTTGCTCACCTCAGATTTCGAGTCACAAAAGTGGATCACAAATCGAACTCCAAAGAGCGGAAGAGCTTGATGTCCGTTAGCGGCGTGGAGAGCGTCAATGGGGAGATGCCTGCCAAGCAGGATGTGAGCGAAGCGCCCGCCACGCCTGCGAAACAGGAAATGCAGGAGAGGAGAAGCTCTGACTAAAGGCAGGTATCAAACATTTGAAACTCGTACTGAAAGTGTTATGTTGGGAAATATGTGAAGGTAATCAGTACAGTTGAAAATGCATCAGTTCTGTGTGAAACAGAACTCATCTTTCAATTTCAAAATTTTCTACACAAATCTGAAGAAATTATATGCGGTCATTCAGTTAATGATAAGTTAGGAAAGGCTTTTTTATCCACCAAATTCTTATATAATTGTTTATTCAGACTTTGTAATTAGAGTAGGTGTTGAAATAACTTTTGTGGGTGTGGCATCACTAGTCCAACAGATAAAATGTCTGCATATTAATTTTTTGGCAATAAACAAACTTTGGCAGTGGCTTAGAGTTAGTGGCAATATGCTTATGGTCTGAAAAAAACAAGTGCTGCTGACAGTTGTATCATTGGAATAACTACAGTTATTCAATAACTATAGCTGCTTCCTTATGCTTGCTGCTTTGTACTGTATGCTTGTATAAGATGATTGCTTACTAGATATTCTCTGATAGATCTGTGGAGCTTTGACTAATAGCAATGGAGTCACATGAAACTGCTGATCTCACAGGGATCTAACTAAGCCTGGCAGTTGGGGTTTTCTTGTGAGTCATTAAACTTCAGTGAATTGCTTGAGTTACTCTATTGAGCATGTGAAAAACATGCCCAGCATGGCTTTGAAATGCAATCCTCAGTGTTTTGTGGTTTATTTCACAGTTTAGAATGTTGGGGGGAAAAAAACCCTGGAAGTTCGTATGGTTTGCCTCTATTTGATGATATGCTGATGGCTAATATGAAGGGGAGAGGTGATTTTAAACAAATACAATTCAAAATTCAGACTTGACCCTTGAGGAAGAAAGGTTCTGGGATGACATAGTAAAGGTATTGGACTTGAAGAAAGTGAACAAAGTGCACAGTGCCAAACTCTCTGTATGCTGAGAGAGAGGATAAAATTATCTTGTCTCAAACTATTGGGTACCTCAGATGGAAGAGGGAAATGCACAAGAGAAAATCTGGTCTGTTTAGAAAAGCAGCAAGACTCAAATGCCCTTGAGTATCTTGAGGTTAAAGTAGAGAGCTGGTATGGAGTGGGATACTTCCTCCCAACCCTTACTGGCAGCACAGGTGTGACTGTTGAACTAAACAGAATGTATTTGTCTGGCATCTATGCCTCATCACTCAGTTTTAGCCAGGTTTTGGAAACACTGCTGTAGAGGAAGAGAGACTTGGAGATGTGGTATGCTTCCAAATAATAAAAAAGTTATGGAGGATAATGAGGTTGGTTTTTTTTTTTCCCCCACAGTAAATAAGAAGACAGGATAGGCTAAATTTGGCAAATCACAAGTGCTTAGAGTAGCTGCTGTTTCAGTGTTGTACTGAAATCTCTGAAGGATCTACAGATTGTCAGGGAAAGGGAAACAGTACTCTTATTTTCTGATTCAGAATAATGTCCTTGTGCTCAAGGTTTTTTCATGTTGATGTGGTTTCTATTTCTTCCCTTTTTAAAAATCAATACCAGCTAAATGCAATAGGAGATAACATCTTCCTTCACTAGATTGGCATTTCCATGCCCAGGTTTTGTTAGTTCTGTGACTATTTTTATTTCTTTTCTGTATCTCTGGTGGTAGGGTACAGAAATCTCATTAGATTGTTCATAATATGATTTTTTTTCCTACTTAAAGGCAAGCTAGTAATCTTCTCTTTAAACATGAGAAATAGAAAGAATAGGGTATATATGAAAATAAACTCCAGTGCACTTTGTTTTAAAAAAACCCCATCATTTTAAAATCACTCAAAATGTTTTGTACTCCAGTTTTCTCTCTAATTATTTCTTTCCTCTCCTAAATAGGAAAGCTATTCCTTGTAATTACCTAAAAGTTCTATAAATTTAAACCATTACTACTTTAATTTAAAAATAAGCTGTTCTCTAGAGACATATGATAGTAAAACTATAAAAAAAAAATGTCCATCTTTGGCAGTTTTTTATTGTAGAACCTCCCCTTAGGATTAAAGTTTTGCCTCTTCTGAAAACAAATGTTCTAATAGCAGAGAAATGGTTCAGCAGAATATTTTAATGGTCTCTCTAGTCCAACAGAGCTATTTTGTAAATCATCTAGGAAACTAGCCAGGTCTGTTTGATTTGCACTACAAAACAGAAACAGATCTTGCTTGACAAAGGATACGATACTGTTCCCTAGCATGGTTCTAGATCAGTTTTTGTCTACTGTCATGAGAAGCTGTTCACATATTAACAGGTAGTACTTAGACCTTTACTTCAGCTACTTATTTCAGACTTCTAATAAATTATTGTAGCCCAATTTACTGAAACTGAATAGATAAACAACATTTCAGACTTGTGCCTCTAGTTAGTACATTTCTGATTAAAGCTTATGCTTTGGGGGAATTTGACTCGGATCTTCAGATGGAGAGGAAGAAGGGAGACATAAATGTGTATTTTACTGCTTCCAGAACAGGCCTTTCTGTCATTCAGAGGCAGTAGATTTGTGGCTGACTTTAACTACCGTTACTGAGAGTTCCTGTATGAGGTGGAATTCCTGAGTTGGACAGTACCTGAATGAAGTAGCATTGCTGATTGCCTGTATTCGCTGCTACTCTCAAGTCCAGGTTTTTTTTTCCCCTAAACTGATGTGTTCTGAAGCTGCCTCTACAGTGTTTCAGCTTATCTAGTGTCTTGCTGGCTGTATCACTTAAAGCTGTAGCATGTCTTCTCTATGTCTTCAAAGTCCATGTTCTCAGCAGACTCCATTTCATCAGTTAATTTTGTTTCAGATATGCTTAATGGCACATAAACAGTGGTAGATACACAGCTGATAATTGAAGTCAAAACTTTTTGTTGAGCTCTTGGACATCCATTTTAAGCTACTGGGTAAACAGAAACTGGTACTGGTACACTGAAGCAATGTAACATTTTCCATTTGTAGTACTTTACACTGTGGTGTGATTTGTCAGTTTGTCCATGTGTTTGACCATGCATTTCAAGAGTACTATCTCAATTTTTAGTTCCTCTTTATGATTTCACATGCTAAATTTGGAATGCACAGCAGCTACATCATGCAATTGTGGATTTTATTTTCCATTTCAGAGCACCTGCTAACTTTTTAATTGATGTGTCCATCCTGAAACTAATTGTGCTATTTAGGTTTATTTTTAGAATTGTTTTCTTCTCTTACAGGTGGAACTTTTAGAAGAAGATTGTCTGCAAGCACTTTGGAGAAAACTGAAAATTCCCAAGAGATGCATACTATTTAAAGAAATGTATTTATGGCAATGTAGCATTTCACAAGTTCTGTGATGTCATTCCTGCAAGGTTAAACACTTAATGGTTTTTGACCAGTAAAATAGTGAGATTTAGACACTTAAATATTGTTGAGCTGTGTGGACATCATAACGAATGGCTTCATCTTGGAAAGAAAAAATACGTACAAGTTTTTGGACAGGAAAGGTAAAAGCTTTATCAAGTCTTAAACTTTTTTGTATGTAGATGAGCATTTATGAGCTCAATATAAAGAGTAATACAATTACCTCGTGGATAAACTACATTCACCCCAGTGATCCATCTGGATTTTTCTTCTGTTCTGCCCACTCCATAATTGACAAGTGTTTGCTGAAGATAAAAGCCAGCCTTTGAAAGATGAAAATATTATTTTAATCCAACTGCTTGTAGCCAAGTAAAACATAGAAGGAATTAATTGTCAGCCAAATCTGCATCTGTGCCTTCAGAACATAAGCCCTCGAACTCTGTGCAGGGTACCTCCCAGGAGAGACTGGTTCAGCTATATGTAGATGTTAAATTAAATCGTTGCTCCCCAGGCCTGTACCTCTCCCTCTCTGCAGTTGGATGAGCTCTTCGTGAGGTTACTTTCCTCAAGGGCTTGTGTTCTCCTGTTTTCTTGGAACTGCTCACTCATATTCGAAGAGGGCCTAATAGTTTTGCTTTTCTTTTTTTGTTCTTACCCACAGGTTCCTTATTAAGTTAAGGCAACATATTTCAAGCCTTAGATAAGGATATGGAATATTGGGCATTAAAAAAATATATGGAATATATACTTAAGTGCTTCAGAGTGGCTTTATTGGACTGAGGGTAGTTGTATTCATTGGCAACAAAATCTTAAGCCAGTGTTACTCCTTTCATATTTTAAGTGTGACTTAATGCTAAAATTACCATGGCATTGTGATATTAATTTTCTGTATCTACTTATGATCTTAGCTTTGTCCTGTTACTTGCTCTGGGGAGAGAAATCTCTGTAATACTTCAGCAAGCTTTTCTGTGTAACTGAAAATCATATCAATGTTCCGAGTGCCTAAGAATATAAGCTCTAATATAAAGCTTTTTAGTAGAGATTGCACTATATTCTGAGAACTATAACTTAATCTGCTTTATGAACTCAAGGAAAATCAGTGTATGTTTTTGAAATGGATTTATTTTAAATTGATACCTTCAATCTTTTTAAACAAGAGCTCTAAATTGTGTTTCTTCATATCTGAGAATTGTGTTTCTTCACTGATTTATGTATGCAGTGTTAACAATGTGTACAAAATTACTCTTGCTTGTGTATTAGTTACTCTCATGTCTTGTCAGGAAACATCAAGTTTCACTCTCGCTGCAATTATGTGCTGCTGATGGTCTTCATTCTGTGTGTATCCACAAGATACTGATTGGTCCTATCAATGTGTACTTTTCAGTGATGCTACATTTGCCAAAAAACCCACCACTACCCACCCAAACTTTGAAAATAATTAATGTTTTATTGTTCGTTTCAAAATGGATATTTTTAGAGATAATTGTCTGTCCTTGAGAACTCAAAATAATGTTTGGCTGGGACTCTAACTTCAGCGTTTAGTACTGTTCCCTGCTCCCATAAATTTAAAATCAGCTTGTGAAGTCTCTTCAATATTTAAGTACAACATAAACACCAACCTTATCTTACAGGCACACATTAAGCTTCACATGATTATTTGTGTGAAGAATATTTCTAGAAGATTTAATTAGTATTGTTTGTAGTAATAAGCTTTCAGTTTCCAAGAGATTGATAGCTATGAGTATAAAGTGTTACTGGAAAAAAGAAGCAGTGGAGAAAACAGCAGTTTTCAGATGATTTTCAGAAAGAAGATACGAAGTTACAGACTGTCCCCAAAGCTTTTTCTAAAAAAAGGGCAGTTTGTCTTGATATTGTATTTTGATAGATGATGGGTTAGTACGGTGAATAAATGGCAAAAGGATGGAAGAAAGTTTAAACGGTAATATGTATTTTTTTTTACTTATTTTAAAAGTAGTTTCTATTTTGATTCTATTGAAAATAAAAGAGAAAAAAGAGATGGAAATATGTTGGATATGTAAAATATTGTTTAGCTGTATAAAGTAATTATGTAAGGTATTATGAGACCTGATATGTGCAAGAATTGAATTTATGCATTGCAACCTAAGTAAGAGAGGATTTAGAAACTGTGCCTGTTTCATTGCCTTTAACACTACACTGCTATTGTAGGGGTATGCATATTGCCATATTAGTCTGCTTTTCTTAAATTTGCTTATCAAATGTATTTTTAACGAAATAGTTTATATACAACTTTTATACTACCAAGCAGTAAATAAAAAATATTGATTCTTAAGCTTGCTTCTGACTTCCTTAAGCCTTCATCCATTGAGTGAAATTTAATTTTTGCACCATCTAAATGCAAAATGGAATCTTTTTGCCTCTTAAGTTTCTGTTCATGGAGATAGTGAGAAGGTTAGTTTATAGTGTGATGTACTTCAGAGCAGTTTTATTTTCTTCAGAAAGGACAATTGCAAATACTACTTCAGTTTCATATTTAAATGAAAAAGGCAGAAATCTGTGCTTTAACCCACGCTGGTATCTTAGATTTAAAATATCGAGACTTTTAACTTTTTATTATATTTGATACAGAGCTTTTAAAAATACTCAACATTATTCTTAATTTTTTCATAAGGTAGGGAATGAAAAATCACAAATGACAGGAAGCTCTTTGCAGTTGTTTCCTCTCAGCCTGTGTCCGTCTGTGATACTACAATGCTTAATTTGTTACATTGTGTTCTCACAGATGACTGTGATCTGTAAAGGGCATTAAAAATGGGTTTTGCTGCATGAATAGTGTGAAGGAGCCTTAAAGCAAGTTGTGGCTAGCTGAGATGGGATTATCAGTGTATGATCCTGTTTACAGGTTTGGGGTCCTTTATTATTTCAGTGCTCCTAGCAGTATCACACTCCTGTCTGTTTTGAGCTCTTGTTTTTGAATTTCAGAAGTTGATATACAGCTGTGTTTTATATTGAGAATGTTAAAAAAAGAAAAAAAAATTAATAAAATCCTTCCAGGTCTTAATCTTCACCACTCCTGTCTGTTTTGAGCTCTTGTTTTTGAATTTCAGAAGTTGATATACAGCTGTGTTTTATATTGAGAATGTTAAAAAAAGAAAAAAAAACATTAATAAAGTCCTTCCAGGTCTTAATCTTCAGACAGAATTGAGACATTGCTGCTGCTGAAGCTTCTGGAAATTCTACACACTATGTGAGTCTCATTTTGAGGAATTTCTTTTTTGGTCTTTTTTTCTTCTATGTAAGAAACTCTGTATAGTACACAGTTTTTATTAGACAATATGTACATATATTGAAATACAAGAGGATCGCTGTATTAAAGTTTGAGAAATTCTGTTATAACTGGACTGACATAAACAAGTTCTTTAAAGAAAAACAAAGACTTTTTTTCAAATGGATTTTGTTTTCTTCACATGGATTAATTCTTGTGTTACTTTTCCCCAATGCAGGCACTTCATTTGTAGTAAGGAATTATTCCAAAATTCAGGATCTTACCTTATGCTGTAGTCCAAGGAGCTACTTCTATGTGTAATAAAATCTGATTTTACTAGTAAAGAACGCAGAGCCCATGTGCAATGTATTTTTGAAAAATGATAAGGATTAAAGTGTTTCTTTTGCTTCTGAATCTCTTCATAAAAGTCTCAGTTGAAAGCATGCCATAGTGTACCTGGTTTCTCATTGGCATATTCTTTCTGAACTATACCCCTGTTATTCACATATACAGAAACTTTGACAAAATTGGTACTCCCATGTGTGTTGTGTGTCACTGGTGAAAGTGTTATTGCAGCCAGCTGCTCTCGTTCTGGGGGAATGCTGAAGCACAGGTGCTTTCATTTTTATTAAGTCTGCAGATGTTGCAGTTATGCACTATCTAGAAATGACCCCAGACTCCAGTATTCCTGCAGAGGGTCTGTGTACAGCTTGAAGTGGCGAGCCCTTTGGAGGCTGCTGGAATTATAGGGCTGCCACTTTCAGTGAGCAGAGCTGAACAGAAAGACACAGAAGAAGGAAATAGGCACTAAAAACATTATAAGAAATTACAGAAGAAAAGGGTGCCAGATAGATTTGTTGTCTGGTTGTTTTCTTTTTTTTTTTCCTTTCCCCTACAAATGAATTGAGCTTGTACTTAACTATACTCATTAAAAAATCATGTGGGTTAAAAAGATCCTTTTTTTGAGATGAGCTTTGTCTGAAGGAGAGGAGGACATATGGTTTGGTTTGGCTTGGTAATGCTAAAGTGCCTACTGGGTTGGATTGAGGCTGTCTCTCCTAAGCAATTAAGTTTCCTGGCTGTTTAGTGGTTGTTGAGGATTCCCACCTGTGACCTGTAGTAAGAAGTGTGAATCAATTTGTATCTATTAATTTAGGGTTTCTGGGCACTTTCTTTTTTATTCCCTGCTAAGTGACTAATGCTACTGCTAATGGGCAAACAAGGAAGGAGTGGTTAAGTCTTGGCTATCTAATATTAATGAACAGCATGTAAGACTTGGACAAATAAAAATTGATTTCAGTTTAATTTTTTTCTCAGTGTTTTGTGAAATCCTGCATTTTGGGGTTTTGTTTGAGGGAGGCTAGGCTCACAATACTGGCATCTGAAATTTCCACTTGTTGATTTCTTTTTTTTTAATTTTGAGTATTTTTTGCAGCAGTAGGGACCCTGCTCTAAGGCGCTGCTGGTTTTCTGTACTCAAGCCATGATTGGGTGTTACCTCTTGTCCTGGATGCTCCCTTTTGCCTCTCTGAGGGGGCTGGCTGATTCTGGAGCTACCATTGCACAGAGCTGGAAAGCACCCTGTCAGCCTTGGAGCTTCCTTCCTGGCAGGTTAAGGTCATCTGCTGAGGCAAAACTAATAAAAGGATATGTAGGGCTGGAGCAGGATAAGGAAAAGGAAGCTGAACAGTTTGGCAGGGTAGGCGCCTGTTCCTTTAACTTTCAAAGAAAGGAGGAGAGATGCCAGGCTTGTAGTGCTGGAAGCAAGAAGGTGGCAGAAGCCTTCAAACAGACATTAGTGTCACGATCTGAAAGCTCTATGCTGTTACACTAAGCAGCTTCCAAATTATCTGTGGCTCCCAAATTATCTGGAGGAAAAGAGTGGGTTGGTGGTGTATTTTGCTACTAAGTTTAAATAAGTGAAGCCAAGTCCCCTGTGGCATGGACTTAGTGCAGATCCAGTTACGTGGGTAGTGCTTGCCCATCTGTTTCTGTGTGTCAGGCCTTGTGTGGGTCTGTGTCAGTCTGTGGCTCAGAACACCTGTTGAAACTGAAACACCTCTTAAATTATATCTGGGCAGCCTCTAGCACTGTAGAGGTGCAATGGTGTGGAGTGTAGCTGCAGCTACAATGCAAAGGAAGATGTATTAGCAAATGCATTTTTCTACCAGTGTAACCCCTCAGTTTTAGATGTGTAAACACTCTGATGCCCCCTTCCCTTGTCTGTTTTCATTCAGTCATCCCAGTCCTGTCTCTTCTGGGCTGCGATGTTGTTAGAAGTGCAGCAGAGGCAGACAGGAGGCACTTGTGCTGGTACACCACCATTGTGGTGGTCTTGAAATGGTCCTGGGGAATAGAGGGCATTGGATTCAGGACACTTTGCATAGCTGTCAGCATGGAGCAGAACAGCAAGACAACTAACAGACCTAGCTGGTACCTGATGCAGAGTGACAGGTTTGGGGAGGGCAGGTTTGGAGAAGAGGTGGCAATGGAAGTGTGAAACTTTGCATAGCTGTCAGCATGGAGCAGAACAGCAACAGCAACAGCAAGACAACTTACAAACCTACCTGGTACCTGATGCAGAGGGACAGGTTTGGGGAGGGCAGGTTCAGAGAAGAGGCAGCAATGGAAGTGTGAAGGAGTTGGGAAGATGGACTGAAAAATAGTAGTGATAGGGCAGAAGCAGTCTGAGATGAACTCTTGTCTCTGAACTGTTCTGAATAATTGATTTTTGTTTTGTGGGTGTCATTAGCTATCCATCTAAATACTCTGGTGATAATACGGTTTGATTTTCATACTGAATAAGATAGTATTTTGAAATTACCATATTAAAGTAGTGTTTAACTAGTGGTCTTCAATATTGATTTACAGTAAGAATAATTATCTAATAAAATCAGCAATCTTAGGAGAGCCTTAAAATAAAATACCCATAAAATTTCTCAAATCTTGTTTTCAAAGGACTCTACACACATGTATGCTCAGAGAGACAGGAATGCAATTTTTCTGTTAGGTGCAAGCAGATTTTGTGTAGAGTAACTGAATTTCATACTGCTGGCAGCAGAGGGAGCTATGAAGCTATGAAGCTTTTACTGACAATTCAAAAAGGTCTGAGTGAGTCAGTGTAAAAAAAGAATTAAACCAAAAACTTTGAAAACGTCCCGATTTAATGGGAGATCTGAGGTGCTTCATGGGGCTGGGGCAGAGCTGTGGCTAGTCAGGACACAGCAACTCAGCCCCTCTCCTGCCCTGCAGTACTGTGGAAGTAGCTGCTGCAGTTATTAAAAGGAACAATGTAAACTTCTCTCTGAGCCAAATTTTTAATCAAAGCAATGAGGAAGAACAGGATCTGTGTGTCGTATGTCAAAACAATAGCAGCGTGCATCGCCTGGTAATTAACACTCATGCATGAATCTGGAAAAGTAATTCCCAGTCAGGGTGGAGTATGCATTTTCTTTTGTAAGGCTTTTGATAATTTGTCTTGATCTTGATTAATGCTGGATCTCTAGTATGGCTGTTTTTTTGTAGATGCTAATTGGATGAGTTTTTTATATAAGTCTATGTAAGCAGCAGATTAATGAGTAAAAGGTAACCAAAATCAGACCGGCATTATTCTAGTAAAGTATGATGTTTGCTGGTTAGATAAACCCATGCCACTTTTACCTACTGGCACTGAAATGTGCCATTAAAAATCTGTAATATTTCCTGTTCTGGAGACTTGTTCCAGAGAAACTTGTACTACTTCTGGCCACAGCAAAATATCTTTCTGTGCTGCATCTTGTATTGACATCGTGGTTCAACCCCAGGCAGCAGCCAAGCCCCAGGCAGCCACTTGCTCACTCCTGCACCAATGGGATTGGGGAAAGAATTGCAAGGATAAACACTGGGAAACTTGTGGATTGAGATGAAGACAGATGAAGACAGTTCAGTAGGGAAAGCAGAAACCGTGCACATGAGCAAAGCAAAACAGTGAATTATTCACTGCTTCCCATGGGCAGGCAGGTGTTCAGCCCTCCCCAGGAGGGCAGGGCTCCTGTGTAACCGTGACTTGGGAAGACAAGCACCATCACCCCAA